GGGGGGGTTAATTACCCCTAAGGGGGGGGGTAATTACCCCTGGGGGGATTAATTACCCGGGGTTAATCGCCCCTTTGGGGGGGGTAATTAGCCCTGAGGGAGGATTAATTGCCCCTCAGGGGGGGTTAATTGCCCCTTAAGGAGCACTAATTGCCCCCCGGGGGGGTTAATTACCCCTAAGGGGGGGGTTAATTACCTTTGAGTAAAGATTAATTACCTTTGAGTAAAGATTAATTACCCCCGAGGGGTTAATTGCCCCGGGAGGGGTCTTAATTGCCCGGGAGAGGTGTTAATTACCCCCAGTCCCAGGACTACGTCACCCTCCTGGGGAAGATGCTTTTCATGATTTTCAACCTGATTTATGGCTCCCTGTGACTCCCCGGGGAGGGGGGGGGAGGAGTTTTCCCCCCTTGGGGGCGTGGTCAAAACAAGCCCCGCCCCCTTCCCGGCAAGCCCCGCCCCCAGGGCCGGGGGTGGGAGGGGTTAATCGCCCCTTTGGGGGGGGTAATTAGCCCTGAGGGAGGATTAATTGCCCCTCAGGGGGGGTTAATTGCCCCTTAAGGAGTACTAATTGCCCCCCGGGGGGGTTAATTACTCCTAAGGGGGGGCTAATTACCCCTGAGACGAGGTTAATTGTCCCCAAGGGGGGTTTAATTGCCCCTGGGAGTCTTAATTGCCCCGGGAGGGGGGTTAATTACCCCCGAGGGGGTGTTAATTACCCTTAAGGGAGGACTAATTGTCCCCCGGGGGGGCTAATTACCCCTAAGGGGGGGGTTAATTAATTACCCCTGGGGGGATTAATTGCCACTGAGGGGGGATTAATTACCCTTGAGTAAAGATTAATTACCCCCGAGGGGGTGTTAATTCCCCTTAAGGGAGCACTAATGGTCCCCCGGGGGGGCTAATTACCCTTAAGGGGGGGGTTAATTAATTACCCCTGGGGGGATTAATTGCCACTGAGGGGGGATTAATTACCCTTGAGTAAAGATTAATTACCCCCGAGGGGTTAATTGCCCCGGGAGGGGTCTTAAATGCCCCGGGAGGGGTGTTAATTACCCCCGAGGGGGTGCTAATTACCCTTAAGGGAGCACTAATTGTCCCCCGGGGGGGTTAATTACGCCTAAGGGGGGGTTAATTACCCCTGAGAGGACATTAATTGCCCCAAAGGGGGTATTAATTACCACTGGGGGGGTGTTAATTAGCTCTCGGGAGGGCTAATTGCCCCTCAGGGGGGATTAATTGCCCCAGGATGGGTGTCAGGGGGCGTGTCCTCGGCGTGGGGGCGGGCCTTAGCGCGCCTCCTGGGGCGCTGATTGGCCGGCGCTCCACCCTCCCGTGGCGCTGATTGGCCGGCGCGCCTCCCTCGCGGGGCGCTGATTGGCTGGGCGGGGGAGTGTGGGCGGGGCCGAGGGCTAGCGGGCGCGCGGGGGCTGCTGGGAAAGGGGAAGCGGCCTGTGGGGCCCGGCGGCGGGCGAGACCACTTCCGGGTACCCCGAGGGCTTGCTAATTACCCTTAAGGGAGCACTAATTGCCCCCCGGGGGGGTTAATTACCCCTAAGGGGGGGGGGAATTACCCCTTGGGGGATTAATTACCCCTGAGGGGGGATTAATTACCCCTGAGATGAGATTAATTGTCCCCAAGGGGGGTTTAATTGCCCCTGGGGGTCTTAATTGCCCCGGGAGGGGTGTTAATTACCCTTAAGGGAGGACTAATTGTCACCCGGGTGACTTAATTACCCCTAAGGAGGGGGTTAATTACCCCTGAGAGGAGATTAATTGCCCCAAAGGGGGTGTTAATTACGACTGGGGGGGATTAATTGCCCCCAACAGCAGTAATTGTGGCGAAGGGGGCGTTAATTACCCCTGAGACGGTGTTAATTAGCGTCTCAGGAGTACTAATTGCCCCCCGGGGGGGTTAATTACTCCTAAGGGGGGGCTAATTACCCCTGAGACGAGGTTAATTGTCCCCAAGGGGGGTTTAATTGCCCCTGGGAGTCTTAATTGCCCCGGGAGGGGTGTTAATTACCCCCGAGGGGGTGCTAATTACCCTTAAGGGAGCACTAATTGCCCCCCGGGGGGTTAATTACCCCTAAGGGTGCCACTGAGGGGGGATTAATTACCCTTGAGTAAAGATTAATTACCCCCGAGGGGTTAATTGCCCCGGGAGGGATCTTAATTGCCCGGGAGAGGTGTTAATTACCCCCGAGGGGGTGCTAATTACCCTTAAGGGAGCACTGATTGCCCCCCGGGGGGGCTAATTACCCCTAAGGGGGGGTTAATTACCCCTGGGGGGATTAATTGCCACTGAGGGGGGATTAATTACCCCTGAGATGAGATTAATTGTCCCCAAGGGGGGTTTAATTGCCCCTGGGGGTCTTAATTGCCCCGGGAGGGGTGCTAATTACCCCCGAGGGGGTGCTAATTGCCCTTAAGGGAGCACTAATTGCCCCCCGGGGGGGGTAATTACCCCTAAAGAGGGGATTAATTGCCCCTGGGAGGATTAATTGCCCCTCAGTGGATTGTAATTACCCCCGAGGGCCTTAATTACCCCTGGAGGGGCACTAATTACCCCCCCGGGGCCTGTTAATTACCCCCTTCCCCTTCACTGCGCCCCCCCCCCCCCCCCCCGGCGGGAGGCAGGGG